TTTTTTTTTTTTTTTTTTTTTTTTTTTTTTTTTTTTTTTTTTTTTTTTTTTTACAGTCACATTTCGCCCCCCCTCCCATCATACTCGCAATTGATTTTATGTCTGCGGCCTTCAGGGTCCATTCTTGAGCAAATTGCCAGCACCTCCAATCACATAGGTCATTCCGCCTGTGTGTCTGACATACCGTGCACCTGGAATCTTTGGTAATTTCTTTCGGACCAGATCCCCCACATCATCACCGCTCTGCCCACCTGACCGACATATCCCCATCCTTTGTCTCCGGCAGCGCATGCAGGCAAAGTGACCATCAAGACCCAGGTGGATGCACGTGGCACTCATCGGGCCGGCCCTAGGTGATTCAGAATGGCTTAACAGGATTCAGAATTGCTTAACAGGACGACCTTTCATGCCTTTTTTTTTTTTTTTTTTTTTACCAATACTTTGTGGAGGCCGGGGACCTCACAATTCGACCCGGACGATGGATGTATCTGACAGCATCAACCAGCTTAGCTTACAGGCATAAGCCTGCAGAAAAGGACCCGGCGGGCCTTTTCCAGTCCTCTAATTTGCATACTAGTCTCATACGAGTCATACCTACTTGTTGAACCAACCCTCTAGGAAAAAAATTAATTGACAGGCATACTTGACTTCTCTCCACTAGGCTCGAAACCAGGTCCAGCGTCCCAGAAAAGGTAAGGTATTTCAGTGTAGCCTATACCCTGCTCCTATTGGTTACATATCTCTAAACTTCTACTATAGCCTTCTATGACCGACCGGTTTGAGATCCGAAAACACAAAATACTATTCAATTTGAAGTTTTAACTGTAGAAAAACTACAATGCCCCTCTTAACACAGAGGAGCCAGTTTGGAGGCTACAACGTAGTCTATCACAATACACAAAATACTATTCAATTTGAAGTTTTAACTGTAGAAAACTACAATGCCCCTCTTAACACAGAGGAGCCAGTTCGGAGGCTACAACGTAGTCTATCACAATTACTAAAATAAATGTTTTTACCGGACCAATTAGCAGCCTCAGAGATGGAACAATTCAAGATAAGAGTCAGCTGCAGACTTCCATTTTTCCTTCTGAAGACACAGTTGCAAGGGTACCTTTTCTGACCCATGTCTGGTAAAATCAGTATCTGTTCTTGGATGCTTTGGCTCTGGACTGAAGCCAATCCGATCTGATTGTTAAGCGTAGAAGGTACTTGATCGTCTCCGCCTGGCTATGGAAGAGGGGCTGCTCTTTCCTGAACAGGGCGTTGCTCCTTGCTTTCCACAGAACTTCCATCACCACCCCTCTACTTATCTGCGTGATGCAACCCCAGCCTGATGAGAAATCTGTATCCTGAGGAGCTTCCCCATAGAGGATCCACTCTTGGGACCAGATGAAATTCCCTTCGGACATGGCAGTCCAATGCTTTTTCCACTTGTCCCAGATCTGGAGGGACAGCGGGCTGTGTATCCTTTTAACGGAGAACGGGCCGAATTAAACGCCCGAACACCCGTTTAACGGCCCGAGGACCCCCGTTGAATCGCGTCAAACGCAAAAACAGGGGTGTCGCGTCGAATTTCGAAAAACGAAATTCGCGCGTTGGGCCTCGGACACGTGTGCCTACGTGCCCAAACACTCAAACCGGGAAAAAAAAATAAAAATTTACCCCCCGTTAACACCCCCCCCCACACCCCTCAAGGCCCCAAAAACCGCGCTTTGACCCCAAACACACCCCCATCCCCCCAACCTACACATTCCCAACACCACCCC